GATCATTATATATATATATATATATATATATATATATATATATATATATATATATATATATATATATATATATATATATATATATATATAAATATATATATATATATATATATATATATATATATATATATATAAATATTAATTTTTGTCAATAGTAGCAAAAATATAACAATTTTACTTTATAATAAATTAGTTTATGTATTATAAATTAGTTATAAATTATTATATTTTATTTGCTATTTAATATCTGTTTTTTGTGGGTAAAAATATGAAAATGTTTTTTTTATATCATAACTATTAATTAGTCTGCACCTGTTCATAGACGCAACAAAGTTAGTTATTTTTAGGAAAAAATCTTATTGGTACCTTTAATGAAGTTCAATTCCGTAAATACATTTATGACACTTTATGTGGTGGATGTTTGAAAAACCTTGAAGTTGGTTTTGATAAGTTGTATGATGTTTGTAGAGTAAGTGAATAACTTGTAACATTACCATGGAAATAAAATACTATTTTTATTATTATTTTTCTTTCTCTAAACTAACAAACTATATCTATATTCTTTAATATATATATATATATATATATATATATATATATATATATATATATATATATATATATATATATATATATATATATATATATATATATATATATTGAAGCGTAGGAAGGTCAAGAATGTGAGGAGTGGGGGTGGAAACGGAAGTAATGGGGGTTAATGTAGCCAGTATCGCCTTCCCTTGTTCCTAAACTGAAAGTTTGTAATAAAATTAAAAAAATACATATCTATACTTAAATCTACAACTTATAAAAAACTTATAAAAAAACTAAAAACCAAGCCCTTTTTTGGTTAGCGCTCTTAGGCAGTTGCCTAGATTGTTGACTATTAATATAATCATGATATTTTTTGATAATCTAACCTTCTGTAAATGTACTAACCCTTGGTTTTCGGAGTTGCATTCAAATTTAGGTTTATCCATATTTTAAGAACTAGATATGTTCTTATAGGTGTATAGTGTATGTCTACAGATATGTTACTGAGATATACTACAGAATAATCTTAGCTTTTTATCATTATAGATTTGCCGTAATACTGACGTTAATAAGAAAGATTGGGTGCAGTGTACAAAATGTCCACAGTGGTACCATTCCGAGTGTGCGAATATTTCTATCAAAGACGCAGACAACAGTGATTCCTTTCAATGCCAAAGATAAAGCATTTTTAAAACGGCTATTTTCATAGCCACAAATTTTAAAAAACATTAAACGGCATAGTAACATTTTAGTAACCACCTAATAACAAGCCACTTCAGTTGATCATTCAAGTTGGTGAGTAGTACATGTCTTCGGAAAACTCCATTGAGGTAATCATTATTTTTAATAAAGAAGCCTAAGGTTTTTTTTTGGTTCGTACCTCTAGCTCAGTGGTCGGCACCATATTTTCATAGGAGCCCACTTGCAAAATTATTGTTTTAGTTGCGGCCTACAGCAATATATAAATTATAAACAAAATATATTAACTATATAATATAGTATAGTATAGAATTAGATTATAGAACTAATAATTGTAATTACTATTATAATTGTATTATTACAAAATACAGACTTAAGAAATTGTGGGCCGCGGCCCACAATTTGCCGACTCCTGCTCTAGCTACACCTCCACTTCCTTAAAGTATTTTACAATACTAAAATAAGTTCTCATTACAACAACGGCATGCATAAAATGCAATTAAGTTGCATTTATTTAATATTGTTTAGTTTCAAACTTTAGCTATGTAGATTTTTAATAAACCGTTTCTTAAAGGGATAAAAATTCGAAATTTGTTACCAAAAGTTTGAATTTTTTGAATATAAATATTCTGGGAGAAAATGCGGCTTTAGTTTTACTACATATTTGCACTTATTTTAGCGAGATAAGTATTTTTGTCACATAAATATACAGGTCCGTATTAGACCTGTATATTTTTATGGACATGATGCACAGGGCCCTATCCAACCGAAGACAAAATATGACGAGTTGATTTTTTTAATTACGACATATAAGTAAAACAAATAAAAGCACGTCACAGTTAATGCAGAAAACAAAACCGTGATTAAATGAGTTTTTATACACCTGGTCGGTGTTTTTATGCTCTGACAAACTGATCATAAATTTATATAATAATAATCATCACATATAATGCACATCGGTTAGAAAGGAGGCATGCATTTCTTAACTCTTGCGTAGTGTTTTGTGCTGAGTCCGTAGCTAGGGTTGTCATGTGCGATAGACCCCCATTTTTGTATGCTAAAACTTCCGTGAAATCAAAAGAATTTTTACAAAATTCTCTTTATTTCACGCAAGTTTTATCATACAAATTGAGCAAGATATTTTCTAATATTTGCTAACATTATTATATTATTATATTTGCTGATCAAAACGTTTTTTTTTTTCAAAAACGACCTCTATTCAAAAAAAATAGTTCGTGCCTTTATATTTATCTAGCATTGAAAAAAATAATACTTGTCTTTAAAGTCTTTTTAAAAACTAAAACCTTATTAAAAAAATAATTATGTAATCCGTTAAATACTAAAGTTGATAAATGTCTGACAGGCATTTCAGACGGACATTTGATACAGACATTGTCCGTATCAAAATTTCATCTGTTGTTTACATGTTTTATTTTAAGTAATAGAATCAGGAATTTTAGAATTATTGCGGGACGCGTTTACAGGTTTTTTTTTTAATCAATAGGTGTAATTCTCCCCTACACTCGATTCCGAGTATCAAGCATTTGAGAATCGCTGTACTATATTCTTCCTAGGTACGCCTCTACTTAATATATTAACCAACAATGAACTTTAAAAGTTATAAACAAATAAAGTCCTTAAATTTATCCAAAACGTTGCACTCCGTAGGTTCCTTATCTTGTTTACGCATGCTTAACATATATAACAACTCTGAGCCACAATTGTTAATTTCAATTTACTATTGTGGTTCAGAGTTGTTAACCCTGACCCTAACCCTAACCCTAATCAGAGTTGCTGCACGACCAGTACTCCCCTAGGTACCAGAGCGGGTTAGCGTTAGAACCACTTCAGATATAAGGAAAATGTATCCTAAAGCTCTTTGATATACTGTACATTTTGGGTAATGGTATCAGAAGGAGGTTTAGGGTCAAAGGACCCACATTCGTCAATTTCTATTCGTCAATTCGACTATTTCCTGTTTTTTAGATTGGTATTGATCCGTATTTCCCTAACCCTTAAAATTTTTGGGGTAATTAGTTTGGGTTTGGGTTAATTTTTCATTTTTTCAAAACGTCCAGCGAACTTATTACAATACTGCCAGAGGCTATGAACAATTTTTTTTTGATCGTTAAAAGAAAATACCATATCTGGATCTTTTGACCCTAAAGGGCTAGATCCAAAATTTTTTTTTTATTAGCTCAGTTTGTTAATAAAGATGCACAATTTTAGTGGGGATCCTCAAAATTTTTAAAATTTGACCCCTTTACCCCTAACCCAAAATTTTACTCTCTCTGGTATACCGCGGAACGGTTTTTTGAATTATTTAACGCAAGTTGTGACCTGTTTAATGTTGTTATAACTGTATAAAACTGGGTATAAATCGATGCAGAATTATTTGCTCTATTTGAATATATTAACAGTTCTTTAAAATCTACATAGGTTCTTTGTGCAACTGGATATATATTTTTATAACTTTGAACAGTACACCGGCGGCAAAGATGTAGTTTCTAGGGTTAAGTCAATATAAACATATATCCTGCCATCATTTATATATAATTTTAACACAGGCGATAGTTTTCACTTAATGTGACATGATTTAAAAAAAAAAATACTAAAAGTTAACAAGCTCAGCAACAGGATCATTTTTCTTTTTTTACACGTGTTAGTTGTAAAAAGAGTAGTTTTGGGTGTTTTTAATATATTTTTTTAAAAGTGAAGGTGAGTTGTTTTAAACACAACCTAAAAATCACAAAAACGGATTGTTAAAAGTATTTGAGCATCAATAATCAATAAAAAACCTTGTTTTTGCTAATAACAGTATGTGACGGACATATTTTGAAAAAATGTAAATAAACCCAATTCTTTTGAAAATGAAAACAGATGTACACATGCCAATCACCATTCTGATGAAGAATTTTATGGAGAATACGATTCTGAGCTTAGTTTTTGTAAAAAAAGTACGATTCTTCTTTAAATCAAGTTTATAAAGCTTTGCTGACTTGAAAACTTTAAGTATTTGTCAGTTTTATGCAAATATCTAACGAAAAAAGAGTCTCGTTACATTAACGTTTTTATTTTTCAAATCCTTGTCAAATTTTGCGTAAAATGCATGTATTACACGTTATTTTAGCTATTCTACATGTTTCCTGTGAGAAAAATAGAGGGGCAGCAACAGAAAAACGTCAATTAGAGAGAAACCATACAGCAGCCGTCACATGTGATACATCCATTCGATAGAAGATCAAACAGTGAGTATAACAACGCAAATTGTTTTGACGGCTGCCGTGTCGTTTGTCGGTAAAATGCAAAAAACGACGTCAGAAAACACTTTTTATAGAACAAAAATATCGTTTAGAGACAAACTTTAAGGCAGCCGTAACATATCATACATCATTTCGATATAGAATTTGACGGTGAATGCATTAAAGCAAACACTTTGGCCGGTTGTTGAATAGTTTGTCTTTAAATTGCAAAAAACTACCTCAAAACTAACTTGTGACACCTCAGGAAAACTTATTTTATAGACAAACTATGCGTCAACCGTCAAAACGGTGTGGGTCGTTGATTTTGCCGTTATCTATCAAAATCATATATAGTAAACCATACAATTGAAAATTAATTTTTGACATTTTTTTTATGATCTTTAACCCTGTCTTAAAAACTAATCAAAAATTTTAGTTTTTCATCGAACCCGATTTTGAGGATCAAAATTGACTGTTTTAAAGTAATTTTGAACATAATGTTGTAAGTATTCTTTCTAATAACTGCACAACGTATTAATAGTATAGTAAGTAATATTTTTTTGTCATACTGTATGCAATATATATATATATATATTGATATAATGACGTTTATTTAGGTGATTCAATAGTTAAGTACAATGGCCAAAAAAAGTAAAATTTGTTCAAAATGTGGGCAAGGTCCTTCCACTTTGTATGACCCTGACTGTGAGAAGTGTCAGCTTAAAGAAGCTACATTATTTCTCGCATCAAGAATAGGCTCCACATCTGAAGGAATGGATGAAAATCTATTGCTTCTGAAAACTCTAATGAACAAAATAAAAAGTATTGATGGTGTAACAATTACACCATCTACCCTAACTCCCATAAAAAATAAAAGTGTGATTTCACAGTCAAAATCACCACGTGAAGAACCTCAGGGTTTTTATTACGAATCTGAAGATGGAGATTGTAGTGAGGGTGAGAAAAGTTGTTTAGATCTTGTGGAAAATGAAGTTGTTTGTCCGACTCCTGTGCAGGAGAAGAAAAAGATTTCATCTCAAACATTCCCTGAAAATGAAAAATTCATGAATGAAAATTTCATGAATTCATGAAAAATGAAAACATTCCCTGAAAATGAAAAAAATCAAACCCTGAAAATGAAAGCGATCAAGAGGAGGTATTATTTATTACTATACTTTATCTTCTGTAACATTTTAAAATCAGTTTTTATCAAATTATTTATTTTTAGGTAAAGAGTTCACGAAGTTCGTGTTAAAGTAAATCAGATGAAGAAAATTGGGTTAATGAGGAAGGCGAACACGATTTTAATGAAGATGAAAGACATGTAAGTACGAATTTTTATTTTCTTAATTTTTTTATGACCTCTTGTTTTTTTATTCTCTATTTTTCAGGGAAAGGAAAAAAGCAGTTCGGAATGAAAAACCTGACAGAGTTTTCAGATGAAAATGAACAAATAAATGAAGAGATCGATCAGGTAAGTAATAGCCTCATTATGCTCTTATATTATGTATGTAAGTTTTACTTAATTTTTTATTGAAAACTTTGTTAGGAATTTCAAAATAGTAAAGAACTGCAAAATATAAAAGGTGCACGTACTGTTTTCAATTCGCTTTAATCGGGACCACCGAACTTTTATCCGGATGAGACATTCAAGTCTTCTTTTCGCAAATAAAATAGCAAAAAAGGTTGTTTCAAAGCGGATTACTTCTGAATCTAAAAACTACAACTAGGTACCTTTTCCTATGTATTTTTCTTTTTCCAGTAGTTTTTTATTTCTTGAATTGAAAAATTTGTAATTATTTTATAATCTAAGCTTTTAAAAGAACTCTTATGCCGTAAAAGGTTGTAATTAATTTTCTTTTTATTCAATGTTACACACGTTTTTATGCTTCCTGATAACATTTTTATATATAATTATTAAATTTTTATTTTAAAAGTTTACTGTTCTATACATTTATAATTATATATATATGTATATATATATATATATATATATATACATGTTCATTCATTTTTTTTTACTCTTTAATATTTAGTTACAGATTTTTTTAAACTACTTTCATCTTTTTATTTTTTTTTTAAAAATGCCTAATTTGTTTTACTACTTACAATACAAAATGTAGAATGTAAACATAGCTTCATGTTTATTTCTTTTTTAAAACCAGTTGGTGTGGTGTATATCTATATATCTATAGATGGTGTATATCTATATATCGGTGTATATCTATATATCTATAAACGAATTCATATATATATATATATATATATATATATATATATATATATATATAGATATATATATATATATATATATATATATATATATATATATAACGATAATAATAAAAATTATATTAACAATAACAATAACGACATTTCGTAATCGTAAAATTAACCTAAAATACCTAGGATCACATAACAACAACATAGGCAATATGAAATCCTGTACTACTTGTATTAGGTATGCCGAAAAACGCGTTTTACGGAACCGATTTATGTGCTAAAATACTGTTCCACGTTTTTCGAACTTTGCGTTTTGTTGGTATGGTAGGATGGTGTTTTGTTGAATGATTTTTTAGAATTTTATATTAACAAAGAGTATTTTTAAAAAATAGAATAGTCAAATTATTTTACAGTTTAGTTGTTTTCTTTATTGAGAAATGTTAATATAGAATTTATTGACATCTAAAATTGTATTGCATTTCATGAGCCTAATAAATGTTGAAGATATGTTCTTATTTTTTTCTATCCTATTCTTTTGCTTAAGTTTATACATTTTCTATGAGCATGCCAAATTTCAAGGCTTTATTTTGACCAGCATATTCCCTATTTTTACCTGCACTTTAGGTACCTAATTTTATTTTTTTTCATACCGATTTTGGAGAGATAGGGGGGGGGGGAGAAAAAGGTTTATACGAAGTTTAATATTTGTTTAATATATGTATGTAAGCCTTTTATATAATAAGTACTTGAATTATTTATATAACATTGAAAAAATCTTTTAGAGGTTATTATTAAAAAAATATATATATCATAAATAATTATCATTAATAAATATAATTATCAAAAAATAATAATTAATTACATATTGTGTAAATGTGTTAGTAATGTAAAAATAATAGTATTATTAAAAGAGATGACCAATAAAGTTTATTAGATCTAGTTTTATTTGTAGATTTTACATTACAGTTTTTTATTGTTATAAAGTCTTTATAACAATAAAAAACTGTAATGTAATAATATTAATATTATTATTATTAACATAGAAGCTACTTTATTAAAGTAGCTTCTACGTTAATAATATTAATATTATTCTAGAATTAAATTATGTCATCAAGCGAAAATGAAATGAGGAAGTTGACTTTGTCAGAATCTGACAAAGCAACTGATACCTTTTTTAATACCAGTTAGTTAATTTCTTTAGTAATTTCTATAGCTCTTTCATAACATTTAGTTATAAAATAAATTTATTACATTGTTTTTTTTTGATTCTTTAGATCAACATGCGATAGAAAAAATAATCAGTTAGTATTCTTGTTTTAAGTTATTTCTTTCAGTACTTTTTTACAGTGTTTTTTTATTGAATCAGTTTAATTTGTAGATAAAAGTTTTATACATTGTCCTTCTCCAGCATTTTTTATGCTATCCATGCAATATATTGATAGTTTTGTTTACTATTGCTTTTTTTCTCTATACGTCATTTAGAAGATCAATTAGAAAAGACAATGCGTAAGAAAAATTAAATTTTAGTTGTATTACTTGTTTAATTGCCCAAAGTTTAGTGACTTGTAACCAATATTAATTTTTTTAATTTGTAGTAAATTAAAAACTCTAGATTTAGTTTAATTGAATTTGTTATTATTTTTAGAGGATTTCATGAGAAACAGTAAGTGATATAAAGTTTAATAAATTGTCGAGTAGACATTTTGGCTAGTTTTTAACTTTATTTGATTTTTGAAGATTATATTTCATAGATGAATTAAATAGTGTTAATCGAAAAATAATTTTAAGTTCAAAAAATTTTTCAATTTTTATTATCTTTCTTATTTAGTGAACTCTAGTGGATCTAGTTCTACTTGTAAGGTTTTACATTATAGAATTTTTACATTATGATAACTAGCTTAAATTTGAAACATTCACTCTATATTACACCTTTTTTCTTGTAATCTTTAGTTGTGCCTCCTCCTGTTACCACTGGTAAGGTTGCTTCTAGTTTATGAAACAAATTATTACTTATTTATAATTTTAAATTAAGTAACGTTTTAAGGTTGGTTGCTTCTTGTTTATTTTATAAAACAAATAATAATTTATTAATAATTTTAAATTATCAATATAATACATTTTCTTGTATTCTTTAGTTGTGTCTCCTCCTGTTGTCACTAGTAAGATTCACTTCTAATTTATATATATATATATAAAAGAGAATATTTTCCTTGCAAAATAAATAATAATTTTCTATGTTTTCATAATTGTCTAATTTATTATAAATGTTCTTTATATTCTTCAGTAAACTGCATACATTTATATTTCTCTTTCAGCACTTACATATGCTGATTATTTAACCTATCGGTCCCAGCATCCAGGACCCCGATCAAACAAATCTTTTTTGAGTTGGGTCCGGAATGGTGGGGAGGACTATCCACATTTTAGGTGGCATCCCTACTCGGGTGCTGGGTCAATCAACCGAGGGCATCAGGAAAGGAGACGTGGCAATAGAGGAGGCAGCAGCGGAAGCACTTTTAATTATTATTTAAATTAAAAGTTTATATTTTTGTTCGTTTTTATTTTGTAAATATAAGATTTTTTGTTAATAAAAGTTAGTTCTTTCTTCAATGTGTTAATGTATTGTCCGCAGAAAAGTAACAAAAGCATAACTCACTCTCTTAAAATCTTTCTGCAAATCTCTATTATGATATTAAAAAGTTGATTTATTTTATTTTTGCAAGAGTTATAAATAAACACAACAAAATCAGAATCATTAGAGTTCACATCAATATTAGAATCATTTTGTCTTTTTATCATTTAAAAATTTCTTTTTAAATACGTTCCTAGCAACTGCAATCAAAAGATTTTTAGTATTTTGTACGTTATTTTATGGTATAAAGTCTATTTAAAATATGTTTAGGTTTTTTATGTAGTAAAATATTTTATTTACAAATAACTTTCTCTTTAGATTTTTACATAAATTGTTTTAATAATTAATAATGATATTTCAATTATATGTCTTGATATGGAAAGTGTTTTAAGAATGTATACCACTATTGTTATGACTAGCAAAAAGGTATCACAAGTTATCTTAACTAAAGTAAAAAGATATTTATTTTCAACTAATAATATGCTGACATTTTTATACTTATAATACTATATATATATATATATATATATATATATATATATATATATATATATATATATTTATTTATTTAAACAATTTTGAAATGTAAATTAGTAGAAAATCACTTAATAAAAATTTTTTTTCATTTTACAGTGTTTCATATATATACATATATATATATATATATATATATATATATATATATATATATATATATATATATATATATATATATATATATATATACAGTGTTTCATATATATACATATATATATATATATATATATATATATATATATATATATATATATATATATATATATATAATTTATTGTTAGTTAAATTGCAATCAAATACTTGTTAATTACATATCATAATTATATTATTTTTCATTATTGGTAATAATGAGACTATATTGGTCTCAGTATTGTTAATACTGAGACCAATGATGTATCATAAACTATTAATGTTTTGAACAAAATATTTTTCCAAAATATAACATTTATTTTTTGGAAAAATATTTTGTTCAAAACTGGAGTAGTTTAACTTTTATTGTGCCTTTTATTTACAGTTAATAACATTTAAATTGATATTGAAAACATAGTTTATTATTCAACAAGTTTTCTCCTTTTTTATTCATCTACTTTAGTTTAAAAAAAAGGTATGATTTATTTTATAAAGCCTTTTCCAGTCTCCTGTTGGTGTTATTACCCAGATGCTTAATACTTATTCATATTTATTATTTTTATAGGTATTATGGCCCCCCAAAAAAAGTTGCTTGTATTTAATGGAAAGTTTAAAAAACATTTAGTTGATAGCTTTCAATTGTCTGCTGATACAAATAATGAGTGTAGAAACGGACATATACTTTTTGTATTTATTGACAATGGTGAATTGTATACCAAAACCGTTGAAAAAGTCAATAAATATTTTGGCTTTAACACAATTGCAAGTAATATTCAAAGTCTTGTGAATATAGCTAAAAAACTGGCTGTCAACTACAAAAGAGATTCTAAACGTTTCTTTGCTTTTTGCAATGAACCCTTTGCTTTCCATAAACCTGCCTTGACAACCAGACAGTCATTACAGCCTACCCCTAGAAGTAATGTTTATATTCTCTCGTGTTCTTCAGTTGCAACATCAAAACACATCGACATATTATCTCCAATTATTAGTGAACCTTTAGCTTCTACAAGCAAAACTTTAAACTTGGAAAGTAAGCCTACTTCAAGAGAAAAACTTACCACAGAGAAAAAAATATTTAAAAAAAGGTTGTCAGACTTATCTTCAATGCTTGCTAGTTCTTCTAGAAATTACCGAAATAAGATAGTTTTAGTGAAAGCAAAATTAAAGAGTATGCCATAT